GGATAAGAATAAAGCTATTTCACTCTCCTTGAAGTTCTCTCACCTCTCCTCTGCCTCTCCCAAAATCATTCCTTCATGCTGCAGGGTGAAGTAGAAATCGAGGACTATTCACCACTCTCAATCCAGGGCTCAAATAATTATTCAAAATAGTTCCACATATTGAGTGCCTGATTAAGCATGTTCTCTATTCATTTTGTTTCATTCAGTCCCTACAGTAATCCTGTGTGGTAAGCATCACTTTCATGTTCCCCATGAGAGAAGTGAGACAGGCTAACCCTGTGAAAGTTGCGGATACTAGGATGAAATTGCTTTTTCGTCAGGTCCAACATACTAAAGCAAAAAGAAAGAGTTCATGCCTGTATGGCTGAGATAAAGGCTGTCTCAGGGACTTTTAAAAATAACTCACAAGAAATACTTTCTTTAGGACTACTGCAATTCAGATAAGATGTTCTCAAAAGAACACCGTTCAGTAATGGCATCTGCAGCCATTACTGGACAGGTATGTCCAGCAATGTAATTAAATTGCCATTTAATTATATTGGCTATTAACTGATGCCAATTCTGGCTCTGAGTGTCCAAAATCAATAAACTCTGTTTCCAAGCAGCTTATATGAACTTCTCCCTGTGCCAATAAAAGCTTCCCTTTTCCATTCCCTCTGCAGATGCATATGTGGCTTGCCATAACTGTGCATCTTGGTCATAATCTTCATTTCTATTTCCCAGATACATCCAACATATTTGAATATATTTTTCTTTGTTGTTGTTTTCTGGGGTTAACAACCTGTTGATTTTCTGAAGGTTGCACAGCTAACAAGTGGTGGCATTGAGGTTTGAACCATGATGGCTTGTCCCCCAAAGTCCATGTCTCATATATTACCATGATCAGCAGTTTTCCCTGCTCAGAAGATCATGCTTCAGTTGGTGATCTGAAGTACGTCTGATTCTTGCCATTCTTGCCACTTTCATCTTGCACCCTCCAAAATCCATGTTGGCTTTCTTATTGGGCCTGGTTGATTTGCTCTCTGATTTATTCTGTATTTGTATTTATTGTTTTATTATGAGAAGAGTTTGGAAAAAATAAAATATCAAGATCACAGCCATCCTTGGAGAGAAAGAAAAAAACTTATGTGTTAAAATGCTGTAAGCATTCAAAGGTCTTTTTGATATACCAGAAGAAGTCTTTTTGACATAGAAGAAAAATATCCAGACACTGAAGGTTTTATAAGAAATTACAAAGAATGGGAGGAAAAAGATGTTTTTCCAAAGTAAATAAGAAATCCGATGGGCTATGCATTAAGAATGGTAATGCAATATTAACAGGCCCTGCCCTACAAAGTCATTTTTAAGTCAGCTGCTTTGTTTAATGTTCAAATTTCCATTTAAATCAATAGCACTTACTTTGCTTTCTTCAGTAGAAGGCATTTGCATTCCAGTAACACACACACACACACACACACACACACACACACACAAAATGGGGATAGAAATGAGTCAGCCATTTCCTGTCCTAACGTTCAAATCTGCTTTTCTGAAAACATGATTCAAGCTGTCCAACAATAATTTAATTGGCTGTTCTGTAAATTACAGGGCTGACCACTATATAAACACCAGAGAAGTGTGCATGAGTATTAGTCATCAGCTATCATTTTTCTGATAATCTGAACTTTCTATGGATATAATCATGAAATACTATATTACACAAGGTAATATAGTATGAAAAAGTCTGCTTTCTACACAAACTTCAACATCTGTCATTTTTATGCATAATATGTATCATAAATTTATGACTCATGGTTAGCACAAGATAACTGAAATAAAGCAATGTATCTAATAGGAGTGCTGATGATAAGCTCTGGTGAAGGGATGGAACCCTGATATAATAAATCCATCTGATAAATGGTTAAATGGTGGCAACGATGAGATCAATGTGAATTGGAGAGGGATATATGGGCTGCAGGGCTGTCTTTTAGCTGTGTTTTGTTTCATATATTTGTTATGGACCAGTTAAAAATAACACCATAGGTTTATCTTTCCAGTGATGACACACTATTGAGATAGTTGAAAATAGAATGAATCATAGAATCAGGATATAAAATATAAAATGCCAATGTAACAGCCGGTCTCCAACTATGAAGAATTCAATTGGGATGACAATACTATCTTAGTTTTTTATTAAAAAAAAAAAAATTAAGGGTTGGGGGCGGTGGCTCATGCCTATAATCCCAGCACTTTGGGAGGCTGAGCAGGGGAGGATCACGAGATCAAGAGATCAAGAGCATCCTGGCCAATATGGTGAAACCCCATCTCAACTAAAAATACAAAAATTAGCTGGGCATGATGGTGCACGTCTGTAGTCCCAGCTACTCATGAAGCTGATGCAGGAGCAACTCTTGAACCCAGGAGGCGGAGGTTGAAGTGAGCCGAGATTGCACCACTGCACACCAGCCTCGTGACAGAGCAAGACTCTGTCTCCAAAAAAAAAAAAAGACATCGAAATAGAAAATACATGGTGAATAATATGGAAACCTGTACCTGTAAAATACCTGGACATTTTGAATTTATGGTCAGCTCACTATTTGTCAACAATATGTAATGCTGCCAGAAAAAGCTGATAAGATCTTGGGTTGCCTTAAGAGAATTAAAGTTTCTGGGTTGAAGGAGGTTTCAGGCTTAATTGAAGTCTCCACAAGTTTCTGATCAGAACACATCTTAACCATTAGGTTCATTTGGAATGATGCACTTCTAGAATAATATAGGCAAAGTGGAGCTATTAGAAGATCAAGAATGAAGGCAAAATAACTAAATGACAGGTATAATTGACATCAAGATATTTCAACCAGAGAAAAAGAAAACTTAGCATGAGACAAAGACCTAATAGATACCTTGAAATATTTAGATATCTGTCATTTAAAAATTCACAAATGGCAACAAGGTGTAGAACAAGAATCTGTGAGTACAAATTCCTTTTTTCATTTTATAATTGTTTTTTAAAGACTGGATCTCACAATGTTGCCCAGGTGGACATGCAATGGCTATTCACAGGCATGACCATAGTGCATTATAGCCTCCAACTCCTGGGCTCAAGCCATCCTCCTATCTCAGCCTCCCAAGTAGCTGAGACTGCAGGCATGTACCACTGTGCCCTCAGCAAATGTTTTTACACTCAATAATTGCATGTTCCATTCCACTGCAATTTGAAGAACTATACATTTCAGAGCAATTGTGTCATATTTAAGATTTCAATAACATTTCCTTTATTCATTCATCTTTCTTATAACTGAAGCCTCTTAATGTGCCCACAATGTGCCATGAGTTACCATTGTTTAACTTTGTCTTAAAATGCTTATTTCTAGCTCTTAGGAACAGGTAAACCAAATAAAATATGTGGATTTAGCTTTCTTTTTTCTTTTATCATAAGCAGGGGACTTCCAAAGGAAGTTATAAATGGTTATAAATGAGAACCTACATGACTTGTAATAATACCCTGAAATCCTCTTAAAACAATTACTGTGCTTTCTCAAGCCATTAATTTATGACCACAACTGATTATCATTAAATGAGCATCTTGGGGGGACTTGACAGCATAAGGCTTTATGCAAAAATGTGTAATAGGACTAACTTCCCTAAATGTTAGGATCCCACTTTCTTTTGATATTTGAGAAATAAATATAATGAACACCATGGGCCCTTGAGACTTTCGGTTTAAGATTTTCGTTTAAAAATAATACTATTATTCTCTGAGGACATGAGAACAGTATTGCTTCATTTAGCTTAAGCAAACCTAAAATATATCAGAGGAAATAATGTTTTTTTCTTTTCTTTTTTTTTTTTTTATTCCAGGAAACAGAGGAAATAATTAAATGAGTGAACATATATCTTTCCTTGTTGCCCACTCATGCCAAAACTGATGTGTCCTGAAAGTACAAAATCACTTACAATGGGGGAAATATCTTTAAAATTTAAACTTGTCTTCAGAGGGAGATGCCTAGTAGTCTCAATAATTACCCTAGAATAAAGTACAATGCCAACGATTGTATTATGTACTGCAGTCTTATGAACAAGCAAACATGGTGTTTTATAGCTGCATGAGGAAGGAAGTTTACTGAAAGTAGCTATTAATGTGTTCATTTATATCCTGCCTCCATGAATAGGCCCCAAATCTAGAGAGAATACAGAGCGGGAAATTTCACTCCCAATTTAGCCCTGTCTCCAGACTCCAGAGGAAGCTGCTCAGCTGGCCTCTCATGCAGTTGAAACTGAGCTGGACAAATTGAGCATGATCAACCACCAGGCCCACAGCCCAAGCACCAGACTGGAAAAATACATGAGCTAGTGGACTGGACAGACTCTACCTCAAGTCAGGAACATTTCAGTGTGAGAAATAAGATGCTTTCCCTGGCACTGATGTTGGTCAAGATACCGCTGGGTCTTCTTTTAGCAGTTCCAATTTTGGAGAAAATTCTGGGAAAAATCCAGAATCTGAACTAGATTCTTAGTTGTTGTTTCAACAGCTGTTACATGTACAGCGAATAGCTGTTTGATTTTCTTAGAGCTGCTCCTGACACAAGACAATGAGGCAACACTTCATATTCAGTCTCCCTGAAATTAAACTTATTCTGCTTTGCTTTACAAACCAAGAGAAAAATGGCGATCATCTGCCAACACTGGCAAGAGTAATTAGGGCTTCTGGAAAAATCTTTTTAAGAAAGTGTGTGAATAAGGGGTAAAAAAAAAATCTTTGTCATTATTTTGGAAATTATGAATTTCTAGACTGAAATTCTTAGATCCCTAGTTATATCTTGTCCAACCCCATATTCCACTCTTGATGAAACTAAGTTTTAAGTAGATAATGTGTCTTACTAAACATCAACATTGCACTGCCAAGTTGCAGAGCTGAGACTAGATCCAGCTTATGATCAAATGTATGATCCTAGAGAACAGATGGCCAACCAGCCATGACTCAGCACTCACGACAACCCGGAACAGTACCTGAACAGTACCTTTCATGGTGGGTGGTGTGTACACACTCTGCTTCCTTTGCTTAGGGGATGCATTCTGTGACTGTGGAGAAAGAGAAAATAGTAAAAGCCTTAGATTTGGATACAAAGTACAATGCCATCAGACCTGTGAGGGAAATAAACACAGTGCCATGTTATGAAAAGTTTTCCGATTTCTCTCTGCCATAAAATAGAATCTCATTAAGGAGAAATTCTATGTATATATATGTACATATGTACATGTTCAGTCATATTACAGACTTAAGAGATATATGGAGTAGGGTCTATTTAATCTTAAGATTCTTCATTCACAGCAGCCTTGAAATCATTTTACTTTCCCACCTAGTAACATTAATTTATTTTAAAAAGAAAGAGAAAAAGAGACACCAATCCTTTTCATTTGAGAGAAAAACAGTCTGAGTTCCATGACAAGGTATGCTCCAAAAGCTACATCCATGGAATAACAGTATCTGTTCATGGGTTTATTGAGTGATTCAGGAAGGACAATGAGGATCCTCGGAAAGTAATAGCAATCTAACCCTCTTGAATTGGCGTGTTCAACTATTACCTCCATTTACTTCGAATTATAATGAGGTAATATTCTTCACATGTTCAAAATGTAAGTTCTTTCCTAATAAAACTGCTATGTGACACTCCTACCTAAGCATTATTGGATCAGGATAAAGTTATTTTGCATTTCAAAATGACAAAAATAAGAACTTATTTCAGGGTCAAAATACAGATAAGGACATAGAGCTATGTAAAATAGATATACATATTATTCGTTTAACAAATTATATGATCTACCCCAATTAGAAAATGGCAAAGACTGCGTTTTAATAGCATGTTGATTTGTGTTTTAATGTGGCATGGGAAGGGGTATTAATCAATGAGTTTTAGTATCTGGAGCAATTATTTTGACTTTGAAAAGTTCAAGTGTAAATAGTTACAACACACTATTTGAAGATTGTTCCAGGCTTGCTATGCACATTAGGAATAACATAATGTACAAAGCTTGAAATAAACTAGAAACTGTTTTATATAGTTGTAAATAGACCTTGAGGCACCTTTCCTCATACCTACTAAAGATTAATTGCCCTTAAAGGTATCATCAAGATGTTATTTATCTAATGCAAAAGCAATCAATTAAAAACTAAAAACTTCAATAAAACAGTTACCAAATCCATATCAGCTAAGTAAATAATACAAGCAAATTTCTCCAGAATAGAGTTTTGTGATACCTGTATTTTATGCACAGGTATAGACAGGGTAACTCTATATTAATGTTAAATACATGAATGATTGACATTTCTGGGGCACTTCTATTTTTCAGCCACATCTTGCTGGTTTTGAGAAGCGATCACTTCTGGGATTTTTAATGTTTAGTTCCACACACATATTTAAAGATCAAATGGAAAATTAACTCAACAGAAATTTTTTATTGTTGTTAGTAATGCAGTGTAAACTTACTAATAAAAACTACTTTATGTAAGAGTTTAGTTTTCAAAGCATTTCCACTTTTACTATCTCACAAAATTTTCAGAAAAGTCTTGTGATATACTATTTGATATTTTGTCCTTTCTACATTTTCCTCTTTAAGTATTGCTGTATACCTACTCCTGCAATCTTGGGAATTGATTATTAACTCTGCATAGCATCCTATTGAATATTTATTTCATTTCTGGTAACAAGTGTATTCATTTCGTGTTCCATATATTCAACATTATACACTCCCCTGTCCTCCCCTGGATCCTCATTTCCTACAAAAACTTCTACACATGTATTTGGAGGAAATAGGGAGTGACAGTGTTCAGACAGCCTGCTGAATTTAAATCTGAACACATTTCTAGGTGAACCCCTTGGATATGGTTACTCAGGCTTTGGAAGACTTCAGTCCCCCTAGACTTTGGCTTCAGGCTTTTGGCTCTACACACCAGAAGACCCTTTAAAAGGTGTCATCCCTCAACCCCCATCTATTTGTCTGGGATTCCAACATTACTTGTCTCAATAAATTGAATTTGTCAATACCATATTGCCATTAAAAGCAATGTTTTATTTTAGAAGTTTTTTTCAGGGGTTAGCATTATATAGGTAGAGAATAAAGGTAACCGAGAGGCAGAGATTTTAATGACACTATATTACTGTTTATTCGGTCAGAAAGAGCAATCTGAAGTTTTATTCCAGTTGTGCCATATTTTATATCACATCAATCAAGAAAATTTTTGCATTTTTAATTGATTTGAACACATTTATACAAAATATTTTTAAAAACTTACTTCCCCTTGTGTGTTGGGCACCCTCTTGTCATCTATTTCTGTAAGAGAAGTAGGTATAATATATTAGGCATGTAATATTCTTTCTTGTAATACACATATTAACATTTTCAACAACACATATCAAAATGATTTGGTAATTGCCTTATACTTACATAAAACCACAACTTACAGCTAGGAAGGAGAGGGAGACAGAGGTGGGTGGTGTTCTTCTGAGATAACCTTCTCCCAAAGGTTTAAGAAAGGTATAGAAAAAGTTTTCCTCTTGACATCCCAGATTTCTCACCTTTCAGCAGTCCAGAAAGAGGACCAGGGAAATGACTCTTAGATGTCATCAGCCTCACAGTTAAGGTTTCAGCAACTTCCTTTTCTCACTGATTCTGCTGCTGCTGCCACTATCCATTAATGAGAGCATCTGTCAAATTTCCTCAAGTTTGTCACTATCCAAATCAAATCTCCTTTCCCACTCGGTCCAATCACCATGATTACAGTGAAGACAACATCCTTTCTATATGTCTCTGGAAAGAACTAATTGCTCCATCAAATGTTTCTTATGGCAGTGCTTGGGTTGTTCTTATGACAGTGCTGTGTATGAAGTGTTGTGAGAAATGGTGGGGTGGAGGAAGAGGTGCTTGCACATGCACCTTCCACAGCGGGAAGATGTTCTGGGCTGGGTTTCTTTTTCACCTTGTCATCTACATTGCATGGTGTCTGTCTCTTGGCTTCTTGACCTAGGTCCGCTTTCCTGATCCTGAGCCCAAGGCTCAAAAACTAACCAACCATGATCCAAAAACTGAATGAGGAGTTCATTAAAGAATATCTGCTTAAAGACAATGATATAGATATGTATTGACATGAAAACATATACTATATAAGTGAAAAATATTTCAAAACTAAATGAATGGTATTTTTATTTTATAAAGGATAGATATCTGTAGATAGAGTGGTGTATATATATGTGTGTATATATATATATATATATCTCTCTCTATACATACATACACACATATATATATATATTCTTTATATATATATATATATATATATATATATATATATATATACATACACACACAGAAGGCTACCAATATGTTAACTGTAGTTATCCTGGGGTGATTGCATAGCACATTCTGTTTTACTCCATTTGTACTGCTTTTCTTTTTATAATGAGCATGTATTACTTTTATAACAAGCAGTATATATGTATGTATGTGAATATATATACACAAACATATACACATATATATAGTAGAATTTCTCTATAAATCCAACCATGCACGAAGTTGATATTTCATGTAGTAAGAGAACAAAATGGCTAAACAGCTAGGAATGGGAATAGTATATAAAACCATTGTTTATTCTAATCTGATATCTTGGTTGCTAAATGCTAAAAAGTTATGGAAACTTCTGGTAAATTGTATTTTCTTACATGAAGGAGGGCAGACATTTTAGTATGGCAATCACAAGTGTCTGATGCAATCACCATAAGTATGTGGGGCATTGTCAGGCAGCTATGAATATACTAAATTGAACGATCCTGTCTATCAATGTGAAAGCTTTTGCTATCACATTATTAAATATCAAATATGATCCACTGTAGCAATGTGTGTAGTTGATCCATTAGATTATTAAATGCCAGTGGGGTTTCTTAATATTTTGCTTTTGATTAGGAGTTTATAAAATTCAACCCAAGACCTACAACCTTATGTTTTAGAAACACAATGGGATCCAATCATTCAGTTTTCTACTTTTCCTACTGTGTCACAATGCCCACCAAGACAGTGTTTTCCCAAGGCAACTATGAGGGCCTCACTTATTAAATATTTCAATAAACAAGTTTTTGTTTTGTTTTGTTTTGTTATTTGCTGTTGTTGTTGATTATGCCGATTAAATCAACTATGTTGTGAAAGCAAGAATTTAAAAAAATTCAGTCTTATACTCTTATCATCAAATTAAAACATAAAAATTAAATAACTCACCTTTCAGGTCAAATTGACTCTGACAAAAGTACAAGGGAAGCCAATAATAGATTACAGTTTTTTGAGATTCACTGATTTAAGTGTATTTCTATTTTTCTTAATAGATTGTCACTAAATTGGGGAGGTTAATATTTTCTGCTTCCCAAGCATATAAATACACACAAACATAAACACACACAGACACACACACACAGACACACACACACACAAAACATGTTCATAGAGCACATACAACGGGACAACAGACAACCACAATTACAGTGTCTCTCTAATTTGTACCAAGGAAGTTATAGCCAAAGAATAACTCCCAAAATATATGCAAATATTGCCAGCTCTTTACACAAAAACATCAAAATATTCCTAATATTATCTCCATGTATTCCTTGGGGCCTCAAATTCTGACCCCATTGGCAATGCCAGAAGTCTTCAGGAAACTGGATTCCACATAAAACATAAGCAATATGTTTCAAATATTGTTTAGCTCTCTTATCAAATCAGAAAAAAAATTATTTTGGAGTAGAGTTGAACAAAATCTATTCATTAGCAGGTTATCCATAATCAAAAACTATAAATTTTCTGAAAGAGGCATTTGTAGCTATTCCAGCCATATCTTGTTTATATTTCTCCATTCATTTCTCAAGGACCACGTAGTCTGAAAGGAGAAATTTCTCGGTTTGTGAGGAAAATGTAAAACTCATCTAGGTACAACATTTTAAGAGATACTGTCATCACTAAAGATGAAGATAGAAATTTTTGTTTTGAGTATGAATTAGTTAGAATACTAAGATATTTAAATTCATGAAAGAACAGGACAAACTGAGAATGCACATGGATACACACATAAACCACAAGCACCCAGCCTCTGCTTGTCTCAGTCAATGAGATCTCATTCAATTTTTGAAAACTAGTTGCAACAAAAAATTAAGTGCCTACAAAAATGAAGTGTAAGAGCAAAGGAAACAGGAAGACCATGGTCAAAAAATAAGGAAACGTGAATGATAATAGAATGAGAATTATAAAAACTAAGAAATGGACGGAATGCAGAGAGAGAACAGCAAGTAAAACCTAAGGAGCCATGGTTGAGGCTGGCAGAAAAACCTGTCTTGGAGAAAGCACTGGAGAACACACATAGTATCTAATACTGTTTCTTCTATTTGTCTGTTGTGGCCACACTTAAGCCACATAATCTTCCCCAACCTTCATGTGTGATATGGGAAAGAGGAAGCATAATAATTCTTACTCTGTCTTCCTCGTTTTCTCATAAGTTTGTTTGGAGGAGTAAAAAAAAATGAGAGCATAATTTCCCTTTCCTTAAGTACAGACTGTAACTTCCTTCCAAAGAGTGCCGTATGGAAAAGGAGCAGGTGGAAATAAGTATCTTTATGGTGGGGAAACTTTATTCTGCCAGGTGACCAAGGTCAACACAGGTCATAAATCATGTTGACAGTATGATCCCTTGATATGATGCTATGAAGATGGCACTTTATATCAATGATCTTCCTCCTCAGATCCTTAAGCCCCGTCTAGTCATGAGAAAAACATCACATAATATCCCAATAGAAGGGCATTGTACAACATTACTGACCAGTACTCTCCAAAACTGTCAAGGTCATGAAAAACAAGAAAAGTCTGAGAAACTGTCATTGCCAAGAGGAGCCTAAGCAGACATGATATTTAAATGCAATGAGGTATCCCAGTTGTGTTTCTGGCTCAGACAAAAAGGGCATTATAAAATATCTCACTAATCTATGGATTTCAGTTCATAAAATATATCAATACTGGGTTATTTATTGTAACAATTTAATAGTAATGAGTTAGAATATTAAGAATAGGGAAACTATGTGTGATGAAGGTGCTGCATGGGACTTAAAGTGCCCTCTGTTCAATTTTTCTGTAAATCTAAAACTCTTTAAGAAATTAAGTCCATTAATAAAAACTTGAAAAATAAAACACTAAATACAAATAAAAGTCACCTTAAGAGTACATTTTTGTTCTTACTGTCAGAATTCTGTGTGTATTTTGAAGAGCAACAGAGAGTCATGATTAGAAAGTAGATAATGTAACTAAAAACAAGGTCATGAAAATATCATTTCGAAGTGTTATATGCGGCCAGTTAAAGAGACATAAGAAAAGGCAAGAGCTAGCTTACAAAGAGAATATTTTAAAGTTTAGTTGAAGTTGTTGAAAGCTGATGCAAGCAAAATGTGTTAGAGGAAACAATGAGGAATTAAAAAAATTTTCAAATAAGTCCAGTAATCATGGAAACACTTTACCTTGATATATTTACTACTCAATGTAGAGATAGAATGGAACAAAGGATAAAAGAAATGACCACTAGTATCTGCTTGATTATACATATCCCCCAGATTACTGCTCCCGTGAATTTATTCCCCACATCCAGAAAACTCCTGCTCTCATACTGAATACTACCATCTCTCAGAGTTCTGTTCAAGTGGCATTTCTTCTGGGAAATCTTTCCCGATTCATGACTCCCCTATGCTCAATTGGAACTCAACACTCCACCAGTCAACACCCACAGCACCTCCTTTATGCCTATCTCATAGAACTCATCACCATATACCCTATATCATGCCCATTAGTGTTTTTATCTCCCACGTAACCTGTAAAAAAAATGAGGATTATCCATCATGTTTGATTCTTCCACAGCTCTTAGCACAATAGCTTAGCTGACACACAATAACAACCTGTCAAATAAATTTATCTTAATGCCTACATTTCATAAAACCAGACCATCTAATTCACTGCTTCTCTGTATTCCAAATTACAACAGTAGTCCAATTATTTGCTCATAGTAGGTGCTAAATAGACATTTTTAACAGTTTTTAAGTGTTCTGTTTGCAAACTTTTTAAGGTAGAAGATATTACTTCCATTTAAAAAAATCAATTTACTAGGTTCAAATGCTACACACACTCAAATTCTTATAAATATTGCCTAAGTGGCTCAAAGGGAATCTTAGAGGGAAAATAAGGATGTGTGACTTTCCTCTGTTGGTTTCCAGAGATTGGGAAGTTTTCTATTTTGAGGACAATATGTATAAGAC